TCCAGTACTTGATGACACTGTCATACATTTTACCATTTTCTGCAGTTTATGGAATTAGTGCATGTGATGCAATAAAGTTAAAAGCAACGTACAACGACTGGAGAGAGTATAAAACGGGGACTCAAAGGCATCGTCAGAGTTACAGCTTCAGTCTTTTAATTCATACACATACACACGCATATTTGTAGGTATCTATATCGACAATCGAAATTAAATTTCCCTGACACATATCTGGTTACATTTATACCATGAATAGTAAATTTATTCATCAACATGTTTTTATAAAGTCAATAAATGAAACCTTCCCTTTAACTATGACGTCATTTAGTGGGTGTTTATAACGCACCACCGTTGTTCAGTACCGGTGATGGGGAACTCATCACAGAATGTCTCTGGCCAATGAGTGTCCTGTGAGTGGACATCTATTTACCAACAGTGCCACATCAAACTCTGCCACCAAAGTATCACCAGCACAGACCGATATGAATGGCATAAGCACATACCATCAGTACCAATCACTTCAAATGGTATAAGCACATGTTACCAGTACCAACCACTTCAAATGGTATAAGCACATATTACCAGTACCAATCATCTCCAATGGTATAAGCACATACCATCAGTACCAACCACTTCAAATGGTTTAAGCACATATTACCAGTACCAATCATCTCCAATGGTATAAGCACATACCATCAGTACCAACGGCTTCAAATGGTTTCAAATGGTATAAGCACATATTACCAGTACCAATCATCTCCAATGGTATAAGCACATACCATCAGTACCAACGGCTTCAAATGGTTTAAGCACATATTACCAGTACCAATCATCTCCAATGGTATAAGCACATACCATCAGTACCAACGGCTTCAAATCGTTGAAGGAGTCAGTCGTTTAACGCATCATGTTTCGCTGTGCAGTATTACGTCCCCTGGGTATGCTAGAAACCTTGGATCGTGGGTTCGAATCCCTCCTTTCAGTTCTGTCAGCAACCGTGTTCGTGGCTTTCACAAAAGTGATAACCTCCCTTGGCTGTATCACTGCGTGCTCTCCTACCACATCAAGTTCATACGCCGCTATATGTCTGGAAGTTTTCTGTTCAAACGGCAATAAACCCAACTCACTCACTCTCTCTCACTACACACACACACACACACACACACACACACACACACACTCAACCAATCAATCAATCAATCAATCCCACACTCACTCACTCACTAACCCACCCACATCCACCCACTCACCCACACCCACACACTCACTCACTCACTCACCAACTCACCCACTCACACACACCCACACTCACTCACTCAACCACACACTCAACCACCCACCCACTCACTCACTTAGATTGTATGACCACATATCGACTCTGGAGATGAGATTATGACCGGTAATCGACATGTTTTTTTCCCCGATAAAAATGTACATAAATGTTTACATCCATCTCTATTTGACCTGTATCTGAATGACCTCGTGACCTGGCACTGGCGCAATCCTCTGACGTCCGTGTGAAATAACACACAGATATAGAGTTGACGATATCCGGTGCCTCATTATTCAACGCACGCATCAGTGTGCGTCATTTCTAATTAACGACAGCCGTAGGCGACACGATGTCGCGAACCATCTGACAGTCCGACCATCCAACTATTAAACACAGAGTAAGAAGATTAGGCCCTCAGATTGGAACTATTGATCTTGTGTTCTTTTGTGGCATTAAGTTTGAGAAATTATAAAATATTTAAACCTATATACATACCAATGTAGGTAAATGAAAGTACAGGACTGGCTGAGTTGGATTTAACTCCTCTTCGAAAAGTTGTCAGACATAAAATGGCGTGTCTGTGTAAAGGGGGAGGAAAACCCGAAGTGATGAAGGTTTTGAACGTTTATCATTTTAGTGAAATCCACGAGAACGATAATGGTTCACTAAAAACCTAAAAACAAACTCGGGAAAATCGGGTTCGAACCCGCAAGAAACTATCCTATAGTGAGTTTAGGAACATCGGGTTTAGTTTTCGAACCCGCAAAGAAACTATCGTATAGTGAGTTTAGTTTTTTACGCCGCATCTCAGCAATATCACAGCTGTATGGCGGTCTATCGTATAGTGAGTTTAGTTTTACGCCGCACTCAGCTATGGCGATCTATCAGTGAGTTGTATGGCGCTCTGTCGGTCTATCGTATAGTGAGTTTAGTTTTACACCGCACTCAGCAATATCACAGCTCTAGTGGCGGTCTATCGTATGGTGAGTTTAGTTTTACGCCGCACTCAGCAATATTACAGCTGTATGGCGGTCTATCGTATAGTGAGTTTAGTTTTACGCCGCACTCAGCAATATCAAAGCTGTATGGCGGTCTATCGTATAGACAGAGATAAAATACGTGTAACGACGAACTATACAATTACCCCTAATCAGGTTAAACCACACGAAAAACATAATAACTCGACTACAACATTTCACCGCCTCCATGGTACACATATAGGGCAAGGAGCATCGGAGATCGGGGTTCGATCCCCGGTAGCGTTATGCCAAAAGACGTTAACATACGCTCGGTATCAAGGGGGTAAAACAAAGACTGATCGGTTGTAGTCGGTATACGGTCTAAGTGGCATTCATGTTGAAATGCGGCAAAGTATTTCAGCTGGCCAGCGCGATTAAACCGGCGTTTGTACGGACTAGAACTAGACTAACAACTAGTCTCTGAAATGAACATATTTTACTGAAAAAAGTTCATAGTAAAAAAAAAATAATATAATGAAAAGGAGCCCTGAGAGTTTCTTCATTTTCAGAAGCTGAGGAAATGTAGACTTGCCACATATTCTAGACTTGCGTGGGCTTTCTTGGATATATTTGCTTCAGGGTCTGTATGACAGACGAGGATTAGAACAAGCACACGTACACGCACACGCAACAGTCTCACACACACACACACACACATAGTCACAAACGCACACACACGTGCATCGATATATAATAGCCATGCTCGCAGGCTGTACTGAATGCTGAGCCCATGGATGTAGCCTACAGTAGTTCTATCCTTGAGGCAAGTCTAGATAACAGGACAGTACAGGACACCAGTCTGTTATTTATCATTTCTTAGAAATTATGATTTTAATGATTAATTTTTACCTAAGAGACTTGTGCAAGTCTACGAAATATAACTGCAATACTCTTTAACGCGACATTTTACCCCATTTAAACCCACCCCATTGAAATGAGGGTCAACTGCGAATCAAATCGGAAAATAGTGATTGAACTCCTATGGGATAGCAGTACATTCATCGATAGCAACTGTATCAGCCATTGACAGATTTATTTCACATTGATATATATTATTTAACAATACCAGTCTGTGTTCAGGCAAATGTCGAACGCTGAGGTTTCCGTTCACAAGCACCAGCATTCTCACACAAAGCTTGATGCATGTTCCAGAACTCGACCCGCTGATTGCATTGACAAGCTCCAGCTAATTACGTCACACAACAAAGCGTGTTTATATGGAATGGCGTCGTTATGCTCGTATAGCAACACGCCGAGAGGTGATTTCCGTGTATGTATTCATGCAAAACAATGCTATCTGACATTATTCAGCGTCATGGTGATATCGAATAGCTAACCTCAGGACATTACGAGGAAATATAGATGAAGCGATTACATTATCACCCAAACGGGTCGACATTTAGGCCTTTTTAAAATATGTCGGTGATTTATATATTGCATAACACGATAAGGGCGATGGAAGGTTGCGATAAACTGCTCAGGAATCGGTTGTGTGATTTGTGCGACTGTTCTTCTAGAGTCTATGGAATGTTCTAAAGAAATATCTTCCCTTGTTCGATACTGCTCTATGATTTATTTAGGATGTTCCCGGTTCGTGATCTATAGTGTTCTATTCCCTTGGTCTGTATTGCTCTATGTAGGTTCTGGGTTATTTTTCTGTAGTTTTGCACGCCAATATTCTGTGAATACCCGCAATGTTTTATGCTACGGGTGTGTAGCGTTATTTGGTCAAATCGAGTGTCATGGATTTAAAATAGCTGACGTGACTGGATACAACGTTTTTTGTCGGGTTATGGAAGAAATAAAAAATGATCAGCTTACAAGTATTTACTAGTTTGACATAAAGGGACCATACTCGTTCTAGACTCGAACCCATGATAAGCGGATCCTGCACCAATAAGTGGCAATTAATCCACTGTGCCCCAGGGTTATACATTATTAAAAGTAGCACATTTTGTGTCTTGGTAGAGCCCGCGAATCGACCACAACATAATGGCTCAAGGCAATGAAACACTCAATAGCAGTATTTCAATGGTTGTATTGTACACGTGGTTTTGTTGACAACGCTTGTTTTAGTGATTTGCTGCATTTGGATGCAATAGCATACCTAATGAAGCTTATAGTTCTGCGGAATGTGGACTAGATAAGCTAGGTTCACAATATCATGAAATCAGCATTGAGAAATTGTGTGCGAGATAAGGTATTTCAAATGCAACAGATTAGTCTAGGAAGTAAGCTAGTGTTCTTGGCTGCGGGCGAGAAAATAAGCCTTCAGTGATTTATGACCTATCCTTGACCATGGCGACACATATCGGCGTTAAAAGAGCACTTGGTGAACTGTGTCCTTGTTGAAACCCAAGGTACGCTAAACACGGTGACACAAAATATGTATCCTGAAATAAACTGGAAACTTTAGAGGGCCAATTTAAATATCAAAACATGATAACAGCTACTTAATTATTCATATCATTTGCATAAATAGGCTTTGAGTATGATGTGAGACGCGATGCTTTGAGGAGATTAGCCATGAGCCAGGGATAAGCATTAGACTATAGAGCCCCGAACGTGAATGTTTAACTTACTTTTAAAATCTGATTTATACTGTTCCAGCGTCTATTCTACACGTGGCAGCTATAATAATAATAATATATCATGCATGTGTTGCATGTCAGCTTGGCATCTGAAACCATTTGGTAATTCTCGGCATAATGTCAGAGGGTTCTGCAGTGAAGGTTGTCTTTGTGATATATTGCTACAATGAACACAATGCCATCTACGTCATTGCGGGATGTAGGGTTGATGTTCTAAGCGTCATTGCGGTCTTTCTGATAGACCAAAATGTTTGATCGAGTTAGCACAGGGGTGTTGACCCCATCATTACAGATCTCTATAATCCGGGCTGATCTTAAGGACAACCAAAGTGGTGATGACCTAATCAATGGACAAGCGTTCTAAAAAGTCAAATCCTTCATTCAAACCCCATTGCTCAACCAAGTAAAATCCCTAAACCCAGCCTCACCCCTCAACCAAGACAGCCTTTCAACCACTCATTTATCAATCAACTTAACCCTTCACCACAGCCCACCCCTCAACCAAGTCAACCCTTCATCACAGCCCACCCCTCAACCTAGTCAACCATTCATCACAGCCCACTCCTCAACCTAGTCAACCCTCATCATCACAGCCCACCCCTCAACCTCACCAGTCAACCCTTCATCACTCAACCGAGCCCACAGGAGTCAACCCTTCCTCAACAACCGAGTCAACCCTTCTCAACCAAGTCAACCCTTCATCACAGCCCACCCTCCTCAACCTAGTCAAGCCATTCATCACACAGCCCACCCTCAAGTCAACCCTTCATCACAGCCCACCAACCTCCACACCTCAGTCCACCCCTCAACCTAGTCAACCATTTCACTCCTCTAGTCAGCCCACTCTCCCACCCCTCAACCATTCATCACAGCCCACCCCTCAACCTAGTCAACCATTCATCACAGCCCACCCCTCAACCTAGTCAACCATTCATCACAGCCCATTTCCCCTCAACCATTCAGTCAGCCCTTCAACCATCACAGCCCACCCCTCAACCTAGTCAACCCTTCATCACAGCCAACCTAGTAAACCCTTCATCACAGCCAATTCACCAACCGAGTCAGCCCTTCATCACAGCCCATTCCTCAACCGAGTCAACACTTCATCACAGCCACTCCTCAACCGAGTCAACCCTTCCACACAGCCCACCCCTCAACCGAGTCAACCCTTCATCACAGCCACTCCTCAACCGAGTCAACCCTTCATCACAGCCCACTCCTCAACCAAGTCAACCCTTCATCAACCGAGTCCCTTCATCACAGCCCACTCCTCAACCAAGTCAACCCTTCATCACAGCCCATTCACCAACCTAGTCAACCCTTCATCACAGCCCACTCCTCAACCTAGTCAACCCTTCATCACAGCCCATTCACCAACCTAGTCAACCCTTCATCACAGCCCACTCCTCAACCTAGTCAACCCTTCATCACAGCCCACTCCTCAACCTAGTCAACCATTCATCACAGCCCACCCCTCAACCTGGTCAGCCATTCATCACAGCCCTCCTCAACCTAGTCAACCCTTCATCACAGCCCTCAGCCTCAACCTAGTCCCATTCATGCCTGCCCAACCGAGTCCCTTCATCACAGCCCATTCAACCGAGTCAGCCCTTCATCACAGCAGCCCACTCCTCATTTAGCCAACCGAGTCTCATGGCCACACTCCTCACTCCTCAACCGAGTCAACCCTTCATCACAACTTCTTCAACCTAGTCAACCATTCATCACAGCCCACTCCTCAACCTAGTCAACCATTCATCACAGCCCACTCCTCAACCGGAGTCAGCCATTCATCACAGCTCCACTCAACCCATCACAGCCCTCAAGTCCACCTTCATCACAGCCCACTCCTCAGCCGAGGTCAAGCCCTTCATCACAGCCCACTCCTCAACCAAGTCCACCCTTCATCACAACTCCTCAACCGAGTCAACCCCATCACAGCCCACCCCCTCAACCTAGTCAACCCTTCATCAAAGCCCAAGCCCACTCCTAGTCAACCCATTCATCACAGCCCACTCCTCAGCCTAGTCAGCCCTTCATCACAGCCCACCCCTCAACCAAGTCAACCCTTCATCACAGCCCCACTCCTCAACCAGCCATCACAGCCAACTCCTCAACCGAGTCAGCCCTTCATCAGCCCACCCCTCCTCAACCGAGTCAACCCTTCATCACAGCCCATCAGCCCCAGTCTAGTCAGCCCTTCATCACAGCCCATTCAGCCTAGTCAGCCAACCGAGTCAACCCTTCATCACAGCCCATTCCTCAGCCTACAGAGTCATCACCCTTCATCACAGCCCACTCCTCACCCCCAAGTCAACCCTTCATCACAGCCCACCCTCAACCTGAGTCAACCATTCATCACAGCCCACTCCTCAACCTAGTCAGCCATTCATCACAGCCCACCCCTCAACCTAGTCAACCTTCATTCATCAGCCAGTCAACCCTTCATCACTCCATTCAAGCCCGAGTCAACCCTTCATCACAGCCCATTCCTCAACCGAGTCTACCCTTCATCACAGCCCACTCCTCAACCCTTCACCACAGCCCACCCTCAACCGAGTCAACCCTTCATCACAGCCACTCTTCAACCAAGTCAACCATTCATCACAGCCCACTCCTCAACCTAGTCAACCATTCATCACAGCCCACTCCTCAACCGAGTCAACCCTTCATCAAAAACCCACTCCTCAACCGAGTCAACCATTCATCACAGCCCATGCACCAACCGAGTCAACCCTCATCACAGCCTACTCCTCAATCAAGTCAACCATTCATCACAGCCCATTCACCAACCTAGTCCACACTTCATCACAGCCCACTCCTCAACCGAGTCAACCCTTCATCACAGCCCACTCCTTAACCGAGTCAACCCTTCATCAAAAACCAACTCCTCAACCGAGTTAACCCTTCATCACAGCCCACCCCTCAACCTAGTCAACCCTTCATCAAAAACCCACTCCTCAACCGAGTTAACCCTTCATCAAAAACCCACTCCTCAACCGAGTTAACCCCTTCGTTAACCCTTCATCAAAACCACCCAAAACCCACTCCTCAACCGAGTTAACCCTTCATCAAAAACCAACTCCTCAACCGAGTCAACCCTTCATCACAGCCCACCCCTCAACCAAGTCAACCCTTCATCACAGCCCACTCCTCAACCTAGTTAACACTTCATCACAGCCAACTCCTCAACCGAGTCAACCCTTCATCAAAAACCCACTCCTCAACCGAGTCAACCATTCATCACAGCCCAGCCACTCTTCAAGCCTCCTCAACCAAGTCAACCCTTCATCACAGCCCACTCCTCAACCAAGTCAACCCTTCATCACAGCCACTTAACCGAGTCCTCAACCTAGTCAACCCTTCATCACAGCCCACACCTCAACCAAGGTCAGCCCTTCATCACAGGTCAACCCTTCCCAGCCCCTCCTCCTCAGCCAAGTCAACCATTCATCACAGTCAGCCCCCTCAACCAAGTCAACTCTTCATCACAGCCTACTCCTCAACCTAGTCAACCATTCATCACAGTCAACCATTCATCCCACTCCTCAACCGAGTCAACCCTTCATCACAGCCCACTCCTCAACCTAGTCAACCCTTCATCACAGCCCACTCCTCAACCTAGTCAACCATTCATCACAGCCCACTCCTCAACCTAGTCAACCCTTCATCACAGCCCACCCCTCAACCAAGTCAACCATTCATCACAGCCCACCCCTCAACCAAGTCAACCCTTCATCACAGCCTACTCCTCAACCTAGTCAACCATTCATCACAGCCCACTCCTCAACCTAGTCAACCATTCATCACAGCCCTACTCCTCAACCGAGTCAACCCTTCATCACAGCCTACTCCTCAACCGAGTCAACCCTTCATCACAGCCCACTCCTCAACCAAGTCAACCTTTCATCACAGCCCATTCACCAACCTATTCAACCATTCATCACAGCCCACTCCTCAACCAAGTCAACCCTTCATCACAGCCCACCCCTCAACCAAGTCAACCCTTCAACTAAACCCAGTACCTCAACCACGTCAACCCTTCATCCCAGGCCCATTTATCAACCATACCAACTCTGCAACACAGGTCAATTCATCAACCAAACCAACTCTGCAACACAGGCCAATTCATCAACCACGTCAAATCCTACTACCTATAAAGCATTTTTCTCCATAATACATCATTCTTCAGCTGCAATTCAAGGTTGATATCCGAGATCTTGGAATGTTGAAAGTGGATTCTTCTCTTGTGAGATAAAACCATTTTGGTGTGTCCTCTGTATCGGATGGCCTATATCCTCTTGTGCGAAAAACTGAATTATTCCGCGGCTGATCAGCTGATGCCGGTGTTCATGCATTACACAACTGTCTGTCAAGAAAGTCGACCCGCGGTGACGTATTTGTCACATTAATATTTCATATAAAGAAAGTGAATCATGTTGTGTTTTAGATGCTCGTACCAAGCAGCACATAAACAATAAATGTTGAAAACAGAAGAAAATATTGTAGATGTCTCAATGACATATTAGTAGAGTGAATCCAAATATATGTTCAGATATTCGAAATGTAATGAATATCTATGCTTTTAAAAACAACTATAAAAAAAATCTTTGGGACTTTTTATTTAAAATATGTATGAATTCAGACTTGATCTCGTCACAATATGGTTCGATGCCGATGTGACGTAAAACCCAACTCAATTCAACTCGACCCGTGAAGGTCCGGGTTAGAATATTGATCTTCAAAAACCCATACTTGTCGTAAGAGGCGACTAACGGGATCGGGTGGTCAGGCTCGTCGACTTGGTTGACACATGTCATCGGTTCCCATTTGCGCAGGTCGATGCTCATGCTGTTGATCACTGGATTGTCTGGTCCAAACTCGATTATTTACAGACCGCCGCCATATAGTTGGAATATTGCTGAGTGCGGCGTAAAACTAAACTCACCCACTCACTCAATTCAACTCAACTCATATATTGGAGTATGGTTTGTTGTCTTGTTTAATAAAGCTAAGTTCACTAACACTCCAGCTATTGGACCGAACTCTATAAATAATTCAGCCTGGACCGCACTATTCAGTGGTTGATATTGTGAGCGACAATCCACGTCATCGCTGTACACCACCACACCATCTCCCGTGTCGCTAATGGCAAAAGAACGCACACACAAATAATAACAAAATGTTTATGCAATATCATTTGAAATGTCATATTGCACATTCAGTAAAACACGTTCCTTGATACATTAAATGCCAAATCTGAGACATCTCAGTATCTCCCAGCACCATCATCTGTTCTGCCCACGTCAAATGAACTGCAACCTGTGTAGACAGTCGTGGCACACTCACACCACGAATTTCCCACTTCACATGCAGTTGATATTTTCCTAAATTATTGAAAACAAATTCGTGATGCTTTTCTTCAAATACTGTCATTAGTATTACACGCCACAACTAATCGAAAGCCCTGCATTACAAAAACATATATTACCATGTCATTTAGTCGTGTATAATAATCCGTTATATATAAGATAAGATATATTATCCGTTTTTAGCTCAAGTGAGTTTGGTCGTGACGAATTGTCCTTCGTCTATCGTTAATCTCTGCCTAAATGTTCCAACGCATGATGTTGTCAAATATTAAAATTATTTATGTGTGTTCTTCATCATATTGTACAAAAGGCCGATATTGTATTTCTAACGGGAAGGGGGCGGTGGGGTAGCCTAATGGTTAAAGCGTTGACTCGTCACGCCGAAGACCCGGGTTCGAGTCCCCACATGGGCACAATGTGTGAAGCCCATTTCTGGTGTCCCCCGCCGTGATATTGCTGGAATATTGCTAAAAGCGGCGTAAAACCAAACTCAGTCAGTCAGTCAGTCTAACGGTAGGAATGGTGTTTCAAAAGATGTTAAAGATCTCCTCCGGTGAGATAGTATGTTATAAAGGGTTTTGCGGTTTGTCCCAGTGCTAAGCATTCTAAGTTATTTTTCACGAAGATGTGACTGCGGTGTCAGATCTGCAGCATGACCTACTACCTAAGCTACATTGATTAACCTTTCCCAATCACCAAGATCACACAACAGAGGGACAGTTGGGTAGCCAGTGGTTATAGCGTCCGCTCGTCACGCTGAAGACCCGGGTTCGATTTTCCACATAGGTACAATATGTGAAGCTCAATACGGGAGTCCCTGGCGGTGATATTGCTGGAATATTGCTCGAGGCGGCTCAAAACCATACTCACTCACTACAACAGATGATACCGTTGTTAAGATAACGGTACAATGTGACCAAATTATCATATTCGTTATTAATATTTCAATTTTTCTCAGTTAGGAATTGTATGAGAGACTCCAATACTTATAGACAATAATGGAAGCATACTGAGTGTATTTACACTAGTATACCATCTGACGCAGTATGACTCAGTCAACACTGATCCTTCAGCTGTTATATACTACTCACACGTTGCTAAGGATCACAGAAATTCCAAACTTTACTTAAACATAGATTTATCATTTGAAATTTTATCCATTTAACACTGGATAAATAATAATATGGTAACCCTTATTTAGGCAAACAGCCACTTTAATCTAACCTTATGCACTTGATACATAAGAAACCATAAACATTGTTTTCCCGGACCCAATCAACCATTTTGCAAATATGGCACGAGTCATTGACAAGTACACGACACCTGTCAATAGCAGGTATGGGATCCACAAGATGCAGTGACATACTGAAACCAAGGATCCATGCTTACATAGCTTAGATATTTAAACCAAATTAGACCCTACATCATAGTTTTCTGTTGAATCAATGATTTGATCCTTAGCAAAGTGTGAATAGTATAGATACTGGGACAAACAAACAACCTGGCGAATCCCTGAATCACGATGTGCGTGCGATGATTGAAACTTGAGTGACCGTAATCTTAAGGTTACACTTTTCAGGTTTCCATTGGTGAGGTATTTCGACCTTTGTGAACCAGTGCTAACCAACGATATGTCACGTAAAGAATGCAACCTCAGATGTTATATGATATGAGAAGGATTAACAAAACTCATTTCCACTGTTATAACAAACATATACGCGATATTAATATGCGTTTTATTGCTTGATAAAAAGGTCCAAACAAAACGTCGGACGTCAGAGGTGCAAAACCATCATGAATGTTCCATTATTAATTCAAAAGTGCATGTATTGATATCAACAATTAAAAGTTTGATATCCCTGACAGAATATATATGCATACATGTATATACTATCAGCATTTAGTTCATTATAGTCATTAAATGTATTTATTCACGACCAAATCAATAAATGAAACGAATTAGCTTAACCAATGACGTCATTTAAGGCTGCTTTGGAAACGTAGGTCAATGAATGACGTAAACGACGTATGTTCTTACATTTGTCGATTAAGGTAATATAGGTCAGACCATGTTCAGCATGGTTTCACTAAGGTCGACCAAAGTTTGGAAATTGAACGCAAGCACAAACCTGCCGCCGTCTATGACTTCTATGTACAATGATGCAGCGAATAGCTTTCTTGCCGATTCGTGCGTCACAGAGGACAGACACGTGACTGCTGGTTTATTCATGCCCTCATTCATCCGTACGTGATTCATTCACACGGAGGTAATCATTCAAGGTGTTTGAATGTTGTTGCATTACAGAAGGTATGTCATAACAATACCTTCCCCAGGGAGTTCAGAACGTAACAATAAGTAGCCGGCGCTTGTATATGGCATTCATAAATTGTTGATTGAAACTTAAAACACCTTTATTCGAGACTTACAAAACACGGCAATAAAACACCAGGATCCGCTGCGGGCATTGTCGTGAGAATGATATACTAGTATGTGGGCGTAATTAAATTTGAACTTTGACAGTAGAATTCCGGATGATATGAAAGGATGTGACATATCTGGGTTTGATTTATAGCTTCATCGCTGTCCACATTATATGATGGTAGGTATTTCGTTGTAAAACGAGACACCGGATATACGGCTGGCTACCAGTCTGAGCTGGAACCATTCAATATTTGTGTTCTACACAGGAGACAGTAAAAATATGAATTTATCAGTTAGATGACGATTATTTTCTATTATCTTTAGTTGTCTTTGTTTTTGTTATTGTTTTCGGTGTTTTTAGATCCTCATCTTGTAATTTCGGTTTTTATAATGATAAGATGATTATCTTCTATTTTTAATCAGCATGTGGTATATTACCTTCGATAATGCAGCGTAAACTACGTATTGTGGAGTGTAAAACGAGTATGGTTTTACGCCGCTATTAGCAGTATTCACGCAATAACTTCACACAGTGTACCCAGGTAGGATCGTACCCGGGACTTCGGGTTTAGGCTAGCCGATCTCCCCACACTTAGGAGTTCATAGGGACAGTAGGGTAGAGCAGTAATAAAAGGGTTTGATCGTCAAGCCGAAGGTCTGGGTTCGGTTCGCAAGATGGGGACAATGTGTCGTTACCAGTCCCTTGCGTTACATTCT